TATGCGCTTATGGCAATACTATCGTGTTCTTTCAGTTATTCTGACATAATGAAGATTAAGGCTTCACCTTCTTGATGTCAAACTAATCCTGCTCTTGCATTTCCGTGCTTCTTACATGAGCCATTAGTCCTCTGTAGAACAACACTTCTATCATCACTGTATTTCTAAACATTTACAAGACACTTGACAAGGTTCTCCTTTGGTTACGACAGCCTAAAAGTTGCAGCCAGCAGCACGTGACACCACTTCAAAAAGACACACGTTCTTCACAAAAAGAACCAGTCTCCTGTCCTGCAGCTGTCCCCAGCCACTTTACAGCTAGCACAGCCCTGGTAGTCAAAAGGCATCTGCCTGGGGCAAACTAGGCTTTTACTGTCAGGGGCTGTACCACTTCAAACGCAAAAGCATTGCACCAACATACCACCATTGCAGAGGAGTTCTGTAAGCTTTTTTAAAGGCACCTGAAATTCTTTATGTCCCAAAGAGATGCAGAGGAGTTTACTGTCTTTTCCCACTAAGGCGAGTTGCTGTAGCAGCTGGTGAGAGGACTCACAATTAAAGTACCAAAGGTAAGCCTGGCTGCTTTCAATGGGCCATCCACGGTGTACCCCTCTCTGCTTCTTCTCCTACTAATTATTGATGTGGTGTCTCTGAATCTTCCCAAACAATTTTGATCCTGCTGGTACTGTTTGCGTCCTATGGCAATAAATCCAAGAGGCTCACTATCTGCTCTGTGAAATACCACCTTCATCCATGTGAAATACAACCTTAATTTGTCAATCTGTTTTAAGTGCAGGAGGAGTGCCTCCTAAACTAATATTTGTACAATTTGGTGTATACTAGTTCTGCATCTTTCAAGATTTTGTAAACCTTAACTTTTTTTCCTTCAGCCTTTGTCTCTCCAGAATATAAGTTCCAGCATTTTGAAGTCCACACAAAACAACTGCTTCATTGCACTGATTGCATTCCTTTTCCTTTTAACACCTAATGGACTCCTTTCAGAAGTAGAAACTAGATCAGCCCAATAATGAACATGTGGATCCACTGCTTTTACTTAGGAGCACAGTAGCACCCCTTGTCTTGTTTGCAATACCCTTTCACAAGATGCCTACTGTCAATGTTTGACTCAGAATCAAAAACAATGCTCTCGATCCCCTCCCCCTCCCATCCAGCTAGGGAAGGAGAGAGAGAATGAGAGAGACTTTACTGGATTGAAAACTAAACTACACAGCTTTAATAAACACTAATAGTAAAAGAAAATATATACAATTATATACAAATGTGTTCAGGAAATGTGCAAAACTCCTATTGCCTCATCCCATCCCCAGCAACTCCCACAGCATCTCCCAAGTTGCAAACAGCCCCAAAAAGTCCCGGAGCTGCTGGAGAAAACACAGAGTGATGAGGGTGAGGAGGGTTTGAGCCTGGGGGTCAACGGTGATGGATGGACAGAGTCCTCCCCGGGTGCTGGCCATGGAGGAAAGAGAAGGGAAGAAGAAGCAGGAAAGAAGTTGTCTTCTGTGATCTCTGACCTTCCTCTGAGCTTATGTAGATATATGGAATGGAATATCTCTGGCCAGTTTTGCTGTCTGTCTTAACTCAGCCTCCTATGGGAGGGTCATAGATCTGCCAGTAGTGTCTGAGCCAGCAGAGCAAAGGTGACCTTGAAGACCCAGCAGTTATAAAAACATTCCAGCTGTTACCAGCCCAAGCTGGGACACTTTGCTACTAGTTAAAAGAAAGCTTACTGAAGGGAAAAAAAAATCAGTAATAGTGGCTTCATCCTGGCTCAAACCAGGACACCTACATAATATTTTGATGTAGCTCTACAGTGTAGCAATTGTTTCAGAGAACTGTCAAAGCTCTCTGCCTTGAGCTGTAATTACAAGTTCCTGAAGTACAAGTTCAGTACCATGTATATTTTCATGAATGATTTGCACCACAAATGCATAAATCTATACTGGCACTCATCCACCCTTTTTGCTCATGAAAGGATCTCACAAAACTGAGCTCCTTGCCACTCTACCAGTGTTGGACTAAAGAAAGCTTGTTATCATCTGCAAACCTGGGTGATTTTGCTGTTCATTTCCTCCTCTGAATCATGGCTAAATATGTTGAATAAAATCACAAAGGAACTGCCAGTACTGAAATTCTTCCTCTTCCGGAGAGGAGCCCATTAAGTCTTAACCCTTCACTTCCTGTTCTTCTCAATTCAGAAAAGGATCCCTTATGCTCTTTGGGAACCAACACAGAATTTTAAGTTGTACTCACACATTTCTCCCTGTAAGAAAATACTTCAGAATTTTCTCAAAGGGACACCATAAGAATACAAGTTCTGTGCAGGGATGGGAAAAAGCAAAACAAACAAATTTCTGCCCTTCACCATTGTATTTGGCTTGTGTGGCAAGGTTTTGGTAGTATGGGGTGGGGAGGCTTCTGTGAGAAGCTCCCCCCATGTTGGACAGAGCCAAGAAGGATCCATCACGGGCTGAGGCTAAGCCCATTAGTGATAGTGGTAGCATCTCTGCAGTAGCATATTTAAGAAGGGGAAATGACTGCTGCACAGCAGGAGTCAGAGAGAGAACTGACTTGATATGTGAATGAAACAGCCCTGCAGACATCAAGGTCAGTGAAGGAGGAGGGGAAGCAGGTCTTTTAGGTGCAGTCCCTGCAGCCTGTGGTGAAGACAATGGTGTTATGAGTGAAAAGCAGGTGTAGATCCCTCAGGGACATGGCCCAGGTTTGGCTTTATGAAAGTCATGGTGTAACCACAATGAGAGTCCCAAGACCAGTACTAATTGAATGGGGACCTGACACAGTGGAGCCATGCTCAGGACTGAAGCTCAAGAGAAAGCCCTGCAGATAAGAAAACTTGCACTAATAAAATATGCATATGCAATGTCTTGTTTTGCTCATTAGTGGACTCACTAATGTGAGAGCAGAAACTGCTGTGCAAACCATGAGATCCGCAGCTGGCCATCATGTTGGCAGTCATGCCAGGCTATGTGCAGCTAGGGGTGGGGCAGTGAATTACCATAACACTGAGATAAAACATGCATGTGACTCCACATAGTTGGATGGGAGGGGAACTCTCTTGGCTTACTGTAAAAAAGTCACCATGGTGAAGCAGTTTGTGCTTCTGTGGCCCATGGAGGTCTACACTGGGGTAGTTATCCACCTGCAGCCCAAGGAGAACCCCATGCTGGAGCAGGTGAATGTGCTCTGAAGGAAGGCTATGACCCCCATGGAGAGTTCACACAGGAGCAGGTTCTGGCAGGACCTGTGGACCCATGGGCATAGGATCCCTTGCTAGTGCAGGTTTGCTTGCAGGACTCGTCACTCCGTGGGGGACCTGCACTGTAGCAGTCTGTTCCTTAAGGACTGCACGCTGTGGAAAGGGTGGAGCAGACTGTGAAGAACTGCAGCACATGGAAAGGACCCACATTGAAGTTCAAGGAGAACTGTCTCCTGTGGGAGAGACCCCAGACTGGGACCAGGGAAGAATATAAGGATTACGGAGCAGCAGAGACAATGTGTGATGAACTCACAGCAACCTTCATTTCCCATCCCACTGCACCACTTGGAGAAACCACGAGTGAAGCTGTGCTCAGGAAGAAGGAAGGGTGGAGAGAAGGTGCGTTAAGATTTGTTCTGATTTTTCATTACTCCACTCTGGTGTTAATTGGCAACAAATTAATTTCCCCAAGCCATATCTTGCTTTGCTGATGACAGTAGTATCAACCCAAGAGCTTTTCATTCTATTTTCTGCTGTCTAGTTGAGGAGGGGATGGAGCAGCTTGGTAGGCACCTGGTGGCAACCCCCCACAACCATCCAACTATTAGCTAAATCTGTTGCAGTTGCACCCCTTCTAAAGGGAAATACAAAAAAACCCAGAGTTTAAAGTCAGACTGACACTGCATTTGAGCAAATGTAATTTCAAGTATTTTTACTGCAAAATAATAATAAAAAATAATATTTGTAATTACGTTGTCTTGAACGCATCTTAAATACAATTCTAATCTGTTTAAGATCTCTGTCTTATATACAGGTTTAGAAGTCAACACCGCTAACAGTAAAGCATCGCTTTTCAATCACCATTATCAATTCAGCTGCCACACAGCAAGAAATATAGTCCATCCTTTGCTTTTCATGACTGCAGCTTGATTTTTATTCTGGCTAATAAAAATGTATAAGATTGTATATATTATGTAAGAGTTAATGCACTACTTATCCAGCAACCAAAATGATTTAACTTCCCAGATTCCTAGTTTATTTAAATTTATAAACACAAATCCTATAACAAAGTTTTAACATACAGTTAGCATACCTGCTTTCTGAACTCTTTAATTACAATAATTAATTTGGGTATTAGGATAGGTAGGATAACTTCAACCTAAATTATCAAAATTAACAAAAATTATTTCCTCCTCCCTGAAGCATGCATTTATTGTCTAGTGGTCTATGCCATCCCAACAGTCAATCTTTGCAGGTACTTATAGCAAGTCTAAGTTCAGTTATGATGTATTCTGTAACAGCTTCAGTTACTGAATAAGCAGTGTAACAGCTTATATCATCTTAAACTTACTATTGCCACAGCATGTAACTAATTCATCTAAGCATGTTTATCCATGATTAGAAGCTGGTAAAAATATGAGAGGTAATCACTGTCATTTCTATATGAACATTTCAAATTGCTTTAATGTATGTTCCCATAGGCTTATTAATCCAACAGAATTGCATCTTAATATTCTTTAAAAGACATGCATTCAATCAGATTAACAGATCAGCCAAAGCCTGAGTGACTGAATAAATTCCAAAGATTAATGCATTGTTGATACTACTCAAAAATATCTGAGGCTTACGGAGTTAATAGTTGCAATAAATCCACTTGTGTTCCATGAACATGATGGAGGTACACACAACATCAGCTCAGTTGGTTGGCTTGCCAAGTATGACAGTCTTGGGTTTCTCAGGTGTTATCAAATGGAACCCAGGCTTTCTACATTATCATGCTGTGACCTGCTGATCTAAAAGAAAAAGTACACAAATATTTAATGGGTAGTGTTCTTTCCCTGCTTGCATGTGACAGAATTGTCTATTAGAAGCTAATACCACCAACACGTTTGATTTCATTGATGTTTTTTTTTCCCAGAGTAACAGGCATACATGTTTAAGGACTGTTATATATATATATTTTATATATATATATATATAGATGAAGATACAGATCTATATAATCCATGCAGTATTTTCATATAAAAGGATTAGCTTCTTGATGACTTGGAAAGGGATAAGCATTTTCAATTACCAGTAACATTACTTACTTCCTTTCCTCATCTTTTTTAATTCCTGCATTATATCTGTATACACACAGGATAAAAGCTCCTCTTGGGATTTTGTTCCATCCAAATAAACTAAGAAAGACCAAAAAAAAAATGTTTTCATGAGTTCTATGCCAGTTCTCTTTAATAGCAATTGGCAAAGTTTTCAATATTCCTATGGGGGCAGTAAAAACAGATGAAAAAATAATAAACAAGAAAAACACCTCCCTTTTCTTCTTCTTTCCCAAATTCATTTTACATGTAAAAAATAATAACATAGTAGAAAAGTATTCAAGTTAAGAATTAGTTTACAATTTTTGTGGTATAGAAGTCTCTGTAGGAGTAGTGGTATCACATTAGGACATGAAAGCAATGGAATAATTCAGCAGAAAGGTTCCTGTGCAGTGGAAGACTTCAGGCACTTCCTCAGCTTCAGGGTTTGAGCTAGGTAAGAAATGGCACAGCAGTTCCCATTCTCCCTGCACAGCAAGAAGTGGTGCCATAATCTGTGCTGATGAGCCACCTGACTTCTCTTTCCTCTGGCCCCCATTTCAGAAGTAGGCAGTCCAAGAGCTGTACAAGTGTTAACATCACACAAGCTCCTGGCAGCCCTCATCAGCTGGCTCAGCTTCGACACTTTTCATGTAAGACTGGTGACTGCAGTGTGTACAAAAAAGCATCTAGGAAGTACCTTCTGGTTCTTACAGTCTTCAGCCAGAGCTTTTAATTCTGTTCTGAAGAATTCTGCCATCATCTCAGAAGCCTCTGTTTAGCCAAAAAGCATGTATGCACACTTGCACACAAAAACTAGCTTGTTAAACAGACTTAATTAGTGATTAGAACATTTCCAAGTTTGTAATTTTAATTTTAAAATGAACTAAAAAACCCCCTCCTATGGACTTGAAAAGTAAACTCACAAAGGCTCCAAACCTACTGCCCAATAGCCACAAAAATATTTTAAGAAAATTCTGTTCCACATGAAAAAACCCACAACCCAACAAACACAGCACAAATGCCACACTTAAGGATCTTAAAAAGTTTAAAATTAAGGATACCATACCAACGTTACTTGCATTCTTTTCCAATTCATTTTTATATTTCAGATACATAGGCCACACGTGTCCATCGAAGTACCCTGGTGTATCTGCTGGCTGATAGACTCTGGTGCTACATAAAAATATATTTGCTTTAACAAATATATTTGTTTTAATTTTCTTCCCCTAATGCCAGTAAGAGCATCTATCCAAAAAAAAGACAGGCTGGGAGGCTCCATAACGGTTCAAGCAAAGGAGGCTCCTTTGTTTTAATAGAATCTGTGATATGAACACTTGCTAATGTACTTATTCTTACCAATCAAAATACATTTAAGATGAGATAAAAGAATATTTCTTTTGTAACTGGAAAAGGTATTACTGTAAATTAAGCTGTATTGGAAGTGTTACCCAAACAGATTACTTTTTAAATTTTTTAACAGGAATACAGATTGTTCCAATGTTAAATTACTAGTGATTTTGTCTAGTCACTTCCAGTCTAGACACTGAAGTCCTTTAAAGGTGAGCCCAATGAGAAAGAAAGAAAGTGGAATCAACCAAAGCTAGTGTAATAGAGAATTTATTCACTCAGCCAGCAGATTCTGACTTTGTGTACATGTATTGCTTCAAGAACACAGTATTGCTCCAAGTCTGGAGGCAAGTCAGACACTGGCTCAATAATCTAAATCAAATATAATGTACAACTATTGCACAGTCTAAACAAAGTGTACACTAAAACCACACCTGAACATTGTTACTTTGACAATAATCATCACACAGCTGTATTCAACCAAGTGTAAGACTGCTTAGCATTTTTTTAATTTTCTCATTTTAAACATGGTTTAATTCCAATATGGAGTCAGTAATGTAAATAATGTATCTGGACAACAAATTCTCTTTTCAGTGTTACTAAAACATTTAACACTTTAATATTCCTGTGCAACCAATCCTCCCTCCTCCCCGAGCCCCATCCCAACCCCATAATATTATGATATTGTTAAAGTTGCATGCTATTGTTAAAGGTGGTTAAATATCCACAGTCTTCCCTGGGAATCACAGAGGACAGATCTTCTTACTAGCTTACATTTGGCAAGCACTGAATAAAAGCTAGTACAAAAGAACCACACCAGGTTAGGTGGTCCAGTGACCCCCAGTGAGCAATAACTGAATAATCTTACCTTCTTCTCCTTTTGCACTCTTCATAAGGAAGGGTCAAAAAGTATCTTCTATTCCATAGTTCATTAAGTGGCCTAAGATGATATTATATTTAGTTCTCTCTCCTTTTTTAGGGCAGCTTTTAATATACTAGGTAACAAATTACCGCTTACTTATAATTGTATAGTAGAAAGCCTTCAACAATCAAAATATAAACATCATCTGCATTTTTCACAGTGTCACATGCATTCTGAGACTCTTCTGTCACAATACCTAAGCTTGTTGGGCTTTTCATCCAATTGTGAATACTTTTCACCAAATCATCCATATAAAGGGCATCAAGCTCTAGATGAAAACAGGAAATTAGGCACCCTTTAAAAATGGAGAATAATAATTATGATAAAAAACCAAATCCTTACTTACTCCTCGGGTAATTAGTTAAAGCAAATAATCTACTACATACAGGTCTAAATGGAAGGGAATGAGATTACCCCAAAAATTCTCTCACACATATAGATAGTTCCATGATGGGACTAATCATACCCTGAAACTAAAGCTTTCCCCAGGATTGGGGTATTTCTGGTGTGTGTGGTCACTTTGTGGTACTAAACAGTGCGTGAACTCACTTCACAGCCTTTCCCAAGACAACAGAAACTGCAGGGACCATTCTCTTACTTCACAAAACTTGTAAAAACTTATTTACCTCTAGACCACCAACCTTCTGTCAAGGGTGCTTAAAGGGAGGGTGCTCAAAAATGTTTACATTAGGTTTTACTGGGTTTCAGGTATTTGGAGGGTGAGGATGAATTGATTGGATTGAAAGGAGGATAGCATACAAAGCTAAACAGCACAAAGAAACACCTATTTTTGTCTGTAGATATGTAAGAACATACTGGCTAAGTCCTAAGTGGTAGAGAAAAGGAAGCCTCTGGATAACATAAGATCAAACACATTTTATAGGTGCTTTTAAGAGCAGCATTAAACCCAGGTAGTTGAATCAAAATGTCCGACTTACGCCTCCAGTCTCATGTTCCAGTTTCATGAAGTCTAGAAGTTAAGCCAAAGACTAAGTAGCTGAAAAGTCAGTTTTCAGATACAATTTAAGATTCAGGCCAATGTTCCAGAGTAATACATCTTGTGATCATCAAGTATAACAGAGATCAGCTAATAATCAACTGTTTACAATGCAATATGACCTGAACCAAAGCACTGGCCTAAAGTGGATCTGGATCTAGAACTTCATAAGACTAAAATGGTACATTGAGCCAGCATTAACCATAAGCTCCAAAACACTTGGCCTCCATGTGACCAAATCTGACATGAAACGAAGGTGTCAGGGTCAGACCCAAGTTTTAACTGATTTGGACTAAGACAATGAAGGACACTCAATGGTGGTATCCCATGAGTTCATTATCAAAGTGAAAAAAAAATTAAAATCCATCATTATACAGAAAGTGATGAAATCAAGCTTATTCCACTGCTGCAAGCAAAGACTTTCAACTGAGCAGTATCATTTGCCACAGCACCAGACACAACTGTAGAAATACAGGAAAAGATTAAAAAGAGGAAATGAAAGATTAAGCACTAGCTTGAGCTGTTTACTAGTTCAGCAAGTTTTCTTGTTTATTCCAGTGAGCTGAGAGAAACTGAGAAAGGACTGGTCTTAACCATTTCCTGCAAGGCATTTCCTGCCTTCTTCAGAAGGATAGAGGACAGGGAGTGGAGGGGATGAAGTGTTGAAGCTCAGCACAACAGAGTTTCAGTACAATGTTGAAAAGCAATGCATCAAAGTTACTGACCATCATACAGCTTAAATCCACGGTCATCTGTTTCTACTTCAGACTCTGGCTGGAGGTGGAAAAAAATTTAATGTTTTCAAGGCTACTCTGATGACCACTTTCACAGACACATACTCTTCAGTTAATAAGGATTATACACCTCTGTATCCCAATCGATTAAATTTATCTTAAAAATCAAACCGCTGTATACAACTATGAGAATACAATTCAAACACTTAATTTAATCTAGAACAACAAATTCTCCAAATCATACCTCTTAAGTTCATTAGGAATTTACTTCAGAAATAAGAACTGCTTCACCCTCCTTAACAAACAACTCTGATGTTAATGCAAAAGTTGTTTTCCTGTTTTGATTTGGGAAACAAAAAACAAGCTATTGCTGTATAGGTGTAGGGTTAACACAACAATACAATTCACTTCATTTGCACAAAGTATCTTGAAAAATGCATCCAACATACCCTTTTTAAATAAGGGATTTAGTGTATCAAAGATAACAGTAAACTTCTCTTTCCTGAGAATACTCAATGTTTTTTGCCACCTAAAGTTCAATTACCACAGTGCTATTTTTTTTTCTCATGAAGTTTCCATTATTTTAAATGGTATCAATTTCAAGATAACTGAAAAGAGGAAAAAATCATATTAAAATCTACTCAAGCCTACTTTTACCTATCAGGTCTTTCCATCAATACTGTTACCTTAAAGAAGTCATCTTGAGAGATTACATCACAGTTGGGAAGCACTTTCTTGAGCTTTTCTGCCAGCGTTGTTTTCCCCCCATTTGTTACACTGAGTTAGAAAACAGGGAAAACATCATCAAGACAAAAATCTATCTTTTAAACAGATGTACAAGATCACAAACACACATTTCTATATAGTAAGGGTAAACCACAAAGACAAAACCCAACCCCCAGAAAAGTTTATTTATATTAAATACTCTCTACATCTATACATTTTCTGACAGGTTCCAACAGTTTTGAGAAAGGAAATCTAGCAGTGCCAAGAAAGAGGTTAGGAAGGTGGTACCAGAGATCTCTGACAGAGATAGATACAATTTCTTTAGAGGTGCATGCCATAAAAGAGACAATGATATGTTGTATTAGTAATCTATTTGCAAAAACCTCCATTCATAAACAGAAATTACATAACTACATTCTGAAAGGACCAGTTTTGAGCTACAGAGGAAATTTACTAATACTTACCCTCCAAGGCCAATAACCAATACTTTCATAGTTGGTTTTCTCCTCAGTTCTTCCTTTTAACTATCAAAGATAGCAGCCAGTGAGAACTCTTAATTCAGCAACATGGAAAGCTGCTAATGTATTAAGAAATAACAATTACCAATAAGACTTATTTTCTGACTTTTTAAAATTCTTTTTCTTTTTGCAAAGCCACCGTCAGAATCTTAACTGCTTGTTCCAATGCTAATAAAAAGCCTCCCACATAAATGTCACGTTACAGATTTCAATATGTTCTACCTTGGACATTTTACAATCATATAGATTATAATAATCCTAGGGTAACTTTGAGGGACTAATTTCTATCAATATTAATACCACAAAAGAAAAGCACAATTAATATCTAAAGAAAAACACAATCATTAGCTCAGGCATTACAAATATAAAAAGGATCACGTAATCAGAAGCTGTGGTGGCAAAACAAACATAAAACACAGAAGAACTTGGTGATGTGCTGAGAACAAAGATATTTTTAAAATTTCATTTCAACAGAGAAGAAGAGTGAGGGGAATAATGTAAATTTTCAGATGAATGAGCTCCCTCCAGATACCCATGCCTGCAAGATGGTATGGTACAACAAAAGGACAAGCAGTAAACGGGGCCGCTTCTCTTGGCAGCAGCACTAGTCCAGAGTTTGTCAAACCAGTTTAACATTTGTCAAACATTGCCTTCTAAGACCGCACACCAACTTAATAACTATTTAACCACATGTAAACACCCTGTTTTTTACCAGCTCTGTGCTCCTAGGTAACACTTAGGAGGTAAGGCCATTGACAACCTAACACTTGAAAGGACTGAGCAGATAACAACACTCTCTCCCCTCCTCAACAAACAAGTACTTTTACTGTAACAAAAAAAAAGGGGCATCAGTTTAAAAGTAAACCCACACTACTTCTGTTAAAATAAGCTGTAGACATGGAGTCTAAAATAATAATATCCTTTCACACTTGGTGCAATGACTGGAAGTTCAGCTGTTTCAGAGGTCCATTATGTGCTTTTTTTCATGGTTGTTTTCTATGTTTTTTTTTTTTCTGTTAGAATAAAAATCCTCACCATTTTGCTAGCTATTGTCCTGCAAGTTTTTATACGTTAGTGCACGAGGGTTTTCTAAGAACACATCACATGCTTATGGTATCAGGTATCTAGTCAAAGCATGCAAACAGATGATCTGTTCTCAGGAAGTGATGGTATTCAGTCCATAAAGAAAGAAAACCAAACCCCAGTACTTGTTTCTAAAAATCGTCACCAAGTGTTGTGTTCCAGAGGATTAGCCTTTGCCCCACAAAAAAATGCTATGTAACAAACTAAACAACATCTGGACACACATGCTGAGCTTTGGACTCTCATTTACGTCATCACCTATATGAAAGTTAATCCTAGCTTAAGGCAAAAACCACCAAGATGAGAAAAAAAACCCACAAACAGACACTAACTCCTCCTTCCTCCAAAGCAACGAGTAACACCGATTGCAAAGGCAGATTGGTCACCGATGTTACAACACAGAAAGCCTGGATTTCTCCACCTGGGCTCAGCTGAGGACATGAACCCTCAACACTAGCACGGAGCTGCTACTGCCCCATGGATAACAGGGGGGCACGGCCGAAGGCTCCTGCCTTCCAGGCACCCCAGGCCCGGCACGCAGCCCGCACCCCTGGGCTGGCCGGGGACA